CCATTTTTTTTCCTTATTAGAAGTTCTTTGAGACATTTTTTTAATGGAAAATTACTTTTGAGATTTATACTTAGTAACTAAAAGTTAATAATTATTTAATTTTGAAAAAAATATTTAGAGTAAATTAAAAAATACTTTTAATAATTTTATAATTAAAAAAAAACACCTCATTTTTTATTTCCAATTTACAGTTGAAAAAAAAAGAGTAAATGTTAAGGTTACCGCCCAAGACGCAGGAACATTATTCCAAGTTCTCAGGCCTCCGCCGGCGCACCCATTTTTTGCTTTCAAGAAAACCAACGGCAGGGTGGTGACTGGATCCAACAAAATTACACCCTGGTAAAATAAGCAAATTCAGCGGGTTTGAAGAAGAATAAAGAAAATAAATTGGCCTTAAATGAATGAGTTATGCATTAATATGCAATTCCTAATTTATTATTCTTTATAAATATTGTATGTAGCAATATATGATAATTATAAAACAAAGCCATCTCTCTGCAAAAGTTTGTCCATCAACGGCCTACTTTTACTACAATATTTTGATAATTATTAATAGTCTTGTTTTTTATTAAATAATTTAATTATATTAAGAGATAATATAAAATGCACAAAATTTGGAAAATAATAATATAGAATAATTTTATTTCGATTATTCTTATACTCAGAATTAAGAAAATAAAAAGACGCTCTTTTCCTTATTTTTCTGTCTCATTCCAAACTCCAATAAAAAAGTAAAGTTTTTCAGGTGCGGTTATAAAGAAGGTTGCTTTCTGTAGAAAGCAGGAAGAAGTGAGCGAGAAAGAAGTTAAGCAGAGATGGAATCAGATTACGGAGTTGCGAGGGAGCTCTCAGCTCTTCAGAAGAAGAGAACTCAATACCAGCCTGAGCTTCCTCCATGCCTTCAGGTCCTCTCTCTCTCTTGCGGCTTCTTACTCTCTCTCTCTCTCTCTCTCTCTTGCTGTTTATGTTTATCTTTGGTTATGTTATGTTCTTGCTGGTTTTAGCTATTCATTTTGCCCCTATATCTTTAAATCCATTTTACACCATTGTGTCTATTGTACCGGCTATATTTGGTTTCAAAGAAGAAACTTTAAGCAGTTTGGTTGATTTAAAAAAAAAAACTGTCATTTTTTTGGATACCAAATCATGCCTCCTTTTATTATAAAATGTTTGGATCAAGCTGATTATATTTTGGTCAGGATTAGTTTCATATTCATTGGATTTATGTTGAGATAAGTGCAAAATAGTGTTTTGATTGATTAATCATGTATTGTACGCATCTCAAACCAAATCCAATGAAGATAAATCCATCTTGATCATAACTTGGTCAGGATATATATCCTGATCCATATTTTCTCCATCAAATTTACTTCTATGTTCATTTTTTGGATTGAAGAAAATTTTGGATCTAACGTGAATACATGGTGCTTGTAACTTGTTTTGTTACTGAAATTGTTTCTTAAAGCATGCATATTTATTAGAGTTTTTATGTCAGTTTTACTTAATTAATGAATTTAAATGCTTAAAAGTCTCCTCCTTCAAATGCCTAATTTTTTCAGCATTTAAAAACACTTTGTTGAACTATTTTGAATTTTTGACCAAATTATGATGATGTACATTAAATTATATTATTTTAATATGTATTTAAATCAATCAGCTAATAAACAAAAAATGCATTTTGTCTGACTTATAATACCATGTCAGCTGAATTGGTCAAATTAAAGCTTGGTTTGGAACGACTTTTTCACTGCTTCTTAAAGCATCATTCTCGTACAAAAATTACAAAAAGTTGCCTTAAGAAATATTAAGAAAGCCGTCCCAAAGTTTGCTTACTTTGCCTTGTCAAATTTTCTTTTTCCTTGTGGCTTAAATCACTTATGGTTTTTCCTGGTGCTCTTAGTACATCTAATTAAGCATTATGATACTGAAGTTCATGGCTGTGATTTGAGTTTTGTATTACATTTCATGTCTTTTGTGGCTCATCTATATAGTGAATTACTTGATACAGTTCATAACAAATCCCTATATAGATATATTATTAGTTTAATCATTAAATTCTCCTGTAACCATGTATATTATAGAAAACTTGCTCCAGCTTCCTCTTACTTGAAATTCTGATTCCACCATTATTGACAGGGAACTACTGTGAGGGCGGAGTATGGTGATGGAACAACAACTGCAGATCCTAGCAGTTCACATGTCATAAGCCATGCATTTCCATATACATATGGGCAGCCTTTGGCTCATTTCCTGAGGCCTTCAACAAAGGTCTCTGATGCCCAAATTATCACTGATCACCCAGTTATCAGGTTCTTATCCCTTCACTTTTCCTTTCCTTTTTTAAGAATGTCTCATACAGATCTGTCAAATTTGAATACTTCCAGTCATGAAATGGAACTGAAATACAATGCCATTATTTCTTAACTTTCAATTCTTTTGTATTTTTTATTCTTAACGGCTAAAATGCAATGCCATTATTTATCTGCAAAATGTTTCTGTAGGGTTGGTGTTGTATTTTGTGGGAGACAATCCCCAGGTGGACATAACGTTATTTGGGGCCTGCTGAGTGCAGTAAAATCTCACAATCCTGGAAGCATTTTACTTGGATTTCTAGGTACTTCTCTCCCTTAAATTTATCGCAGTTGTTTTGCATTCTCTTGAAAGAGAGAAATGATTAGTTTTTTACTTTTGTTTTGTATGTGAAATTGAATATAACAGTCTGGGATTAAACTGAATATTCTCATGTTCTTTAACAGTCTGGTGGTGAATGTAATGTAAACTAATTTGATAGAGATTTTTTCTTTTTCTGACTTCTAAGTTTTCCATGTATCATGTATGGTTATTTGGTGACATCTGCTTAACATTTTCTAGCTTGTTTTTTATTTACTTACATGTTAATACTTTGATTGCATTTTGTTCTTTGCACAGGTGGTACTGAAGGTTTGTTTGCACAGAAAACTATGGAAATCACATATGATATTCTTTCTTCTTTCAAAAACCAAGGTTCATAAACTTTTGTTTTCTTTCTTAATATTCAACAAAATATTTCTCTACTGTTCTAAAAATGTATAGTCTTTTTTCTCAAGAATCTACATTTGTTGCTCTTGAAGGTGGTTTTGATTTGCTTGGCCGAACACAAGATCAGATTAGAACAAGTGAGCAAGTCAATGCTGCTAAGGCTGCATGTGAAGCATTGAAACTGAATGGTCTTGTCATTATTGGGGGTAATTACTTTATTAAACTAATTATGTCGCACATAGTCAGCATACTAGTGGTTGTATCTACTAATTAATATATTTTGCTGGTTTTCTCAAGGTGTCACATCCAATACAGATGCTGCTCACCTGGCCGAGACTTTTGCAGAGACAAACTGTCAAACCAAGGTAAGGACATCTCCAACCGAACTACATAAATTCATTTGCCGTCCTCCATTCGCTCCACCCGAACACCAAATCGCATGCTACATTCGCGAGGTGAAACAGTGCAACGTCAATATTGATGTTGCACTATTCAGCAACGCCAAATCGTACACGTATGATTTGAGGGAAGGCGCTGTGACAACGGCCAACGGGTATATGAGAAAGAATATACACAGAATATTCATTTCTGTTTAAGGAAATGGAGTTCCATTGGAGTTGAGTTACTGTATTTTGGAGAGAAAAATGAGTTTTTTGGTTAGAGATGGTATAATAAATTTCCTTTTTTTTCTTATGCTGTTGGTCCAGCTTCCATTTATTACCGTTGAATAATGTATGATGTGGTAAATATAGCTTTTATAATTTTTTTTGGACAATTATATGCTAATATTTGGTTTACTAAAATTATTTACTTACTGACACTGTTCATGATTTCAGAAACATGAATATAATGTTATTATTTATTAACTAAGCTAAATTGGTAGGTGGTTGGTGTACCTGTTACTTTGAATGGGGATCTAAGGAATCAGTTCGTGGAGACTGATGTTGGCTTTGACACTATATGCCGGGTACATATTGACCACATTGTTATTTAATTAAGGCTGTTTGCAACCTATTTTCTTTTTCATCTTTTTTTTTTTAATATATTTGATTTGTATTTTCTGGCAATTTTTCTTTTCTTTGGAAGGTAATCGAGTTATTTTTGAAAATACACAAAATACTTTTTACTTATTTTTTAAGTGTTTTATTACTTTCAAAATGGCAATTACCTTAGCCCGTAGCTAGGAGTGGAGCCAGAAATTTTTTTGAATGAGGGCACAAATTAATATTAGCTATTAAATTAATCTCAAAATATGATTTTTCTTTTGTGTAATCATCATAGTTCATGAGACATGTTTTTAATAAAAAATACATCCAAAATTATATGTATTCCCATAATCCCATTAAAAAGGAAGAATTTTTTCACCCTAATATTTTCCTTAAAAGTGGATTAGAGAAGGACAATGTATATTTGTAGTATTTGAAAAATTAAGAATGCAATTCTCGACAATCAAGTTATTGTGAAATTTGTATCCACGCCAAAAGGATACACCTATCAATTGAGTAAATATGCATAAATTTTTTGTATTTTTTATGGGTACTCTTAATTTTTTTCAATTTTTTTTGCTTTTTATGATTGAACAAGGTTTAGGTCTCGTTTGGGACGGATTTCTTACTGCTTCTTAAAACAACTTTCTAATACAAAAATTTAAATTTTTATACTAAAAAGTTACTTTAAGAAGCAGTAAAAAATTCGTCCCAAACGAAGCCTTAGTCTAGCCGCATTATTGTAAAGTCACATATAGCTTAGCATATGTTTTTATTTTTTTTAATAAAAATTTCTGTTACAATCATTGGTGCCTGATTTATAGCATAGAATTCACCAATAATAATATAGAACTTTGATATGCAAATCCACTTTATGCATAATGTTAAATCTTCGCTCAAAGATCTACCAAATTGAAACACATAGCTAGTCATGTGAGCAGTAATCTAACTTTTGGATCAAAAGGGTATTGAGTCATTCAAACGCATTAAATTATTTCATTGATGAAATTCAATATGTGAGTTCATATGTTATTAATGGCAAACAATTATGATCCATTAATAACATACAGAAATGTTTTAGTTGATAATTTTTAATAAACTCTACTGAAACACATACAGTTGCTGTTATACTATTTAAAAGAACATCTTAGGCTTCATTTGGGACGGCTTTCTTATTGCTTCTTAAAACAGCTTTTTAATACAGAAATTAAAATTTTTGTATTAAAAAAGTTGCTTTAATAAGTAGTCAAAAGCCGTCCCAAACGAAGCCTTAGTCTATAGAATAGATCCTGAAACCCATCATTTCTCTTCCCATGTGTTACCGTTTAGAATTAAGAGACAAAACAGGGGCCAAAGCTAATGAGATCTTTTAATTAAATAAAACCTTAGTGTTGCAACATGAGTTTCTATGGGTTTATTCCCTGTTTAAGCTAATCAATCATAGACCTTATACTGCATATTTTGTTATGTTATAAATTTATGAATTTTTAATGTTTAATGGATTTAACCTTTGATTCTCTATTCTAACATTGGTTTTCCTATATTCAGGTTAACTCACAGCTTATAAGCAACATTTGCTTGGATGCTCTTTCCGCAGAGAAGGTAAAGCAAGCATTACGCAATTTTTGATAGAAAATTCAACTCGGGATTCATTTGGGATGGCTTTCTTACTGCTTCTTAAAGCAGCTTTTAAAAAGCTGCTTTAAGAAGCAGTAAGAAAGTCCTCCCAAACGAAACCTTAGTTGGATGCTAAGAAAGCATTTGGTTGCTTGTAAATACAACATGTTTGAGAAAATGATGATTTTATTTTCTGTTATTTTCAGGATGCAAATAAAATAGTTAATTTTTTAGGGAGTTTTGGGTAGGTTTATTAAGTTTGAAATCAATTTTTTGCATTTTCAATCTTTTAAGCAATCTTTTCTCTAATTACTTTTGCAGTATTATTACTTCATTCGCTTGATGGGACACAAGGCATCTCATGTTGCTGTGGAATGTGCTCTGCAGTCACATCCAAATATGGTGGTTCATTAATCATTCATGTACCTTTTTTTTTTTAAATCTAATCATACAAAAAAAACACAACATATTAATTTTTTGTATGTTTCGAGTTCCATAAAAGCTAAATTTTAATTCACATTCCAGGTGTTCCTAGCTGAAGAGGTGGCCATGTCAAAATTTAACCTCTTTGATATTACAAAACAAATAAGCGATGCAGTCCAAGCAAGAGCAGAACAAGGTTGAGTGCAGTGCTCATCTTCTTTAACTAAGCGCATGCAATCCACTAATTTATGTGATGAATTCAATGCAGGAAAGTATCATGGTGTCATCCTCATCCCTGAGGGACTAGTAGAAAGCATTCCAGAACTATTTGCGCTGTTGCAGGTAGTCATCTTGTTCTTAAATAAATTGCAGCTTCTTAATTATTTTATTTCTTCCTTCTTTCCACCATTTTCCTTCATCTCTTCTCTTTCAATTGTGTGAGAAATGAAATGTTTGTCTTATTTCTTGTAGGAAATTCATGGCCTCCAAAGCCAAGGAGTTGATATGGAGAGCATATCTACTCATCTTTCTCCCTGGGCATCTGCATTATTTGAATTTTTGCCACCATTTATCAGAAAACAGGTTTTCTTCCATCCTTCTGCATGGTGGAGGGTGGCCCCAGCCCCCTAGATTTAGGATAAATTCCGTTATAGCTATTTGTGATATGGGAGTTTTACTCATAAATCCTTTTGTAACTATGTACTACCGAATGTCCCCTCCTAAATTTGGAATCCCTCACACTTTTAATCGTAGTTCCGCCATTTGTTATGCAGTCGGCTTGAGAATTATTGAACACTTCATGATGTTTAAGTTGCAAAATATAACTAATTACATATGAAAATCTCTCCTTCCATGCAGTTTTTACTTCCTCCTGAATCTGATAATTCAGCACAGTTTTCTGAGGTAAAGGTTCTTCCATGACAATGTGTTCTGAACGGAAAATGGAAGGATTTCTGTTTGAGACTCGGCTTTGTTTGGGATAACTTTCTTGTTGCTTCTTAAAGCAACTTTTTGGTATAAAAATTTTAATTTTTGTACTAAAAAGATGCTTTAAGAAGCAATAAAAAAACCGACCCAAATAAAGCCTTTATTTCGTGAACTTACTTCTTTGTGTTCTCTACTCAGATTGAGATAGAAAAACTTTTAGCTCGGCTGGTGGATGCAGAAATGAACAAGAGAATGGTAGGTTCAGACTTCTCTTTAAAATTCTGCCATAGTTTATTTTTCCATTATGGATCTGATTTTTGCACCTTTATTTCCATTCTTTCTTATCTTTCCTTTCTATTTTTCTTGTTTGTTGCATAGTAAACTTCTCAAACTAAAACTGTCAAACCTTATAATTTACCGTTACAGTTATAAGAATTTCTTTATGTTTTAACTTGGATAAACTTTGGAATATATCCCAGAAAGAAGGCACTTACAAAGGGAAAAAATTCAATCCTATTTGTCACTTTTTTGGCTACCAAACTCGAGGATCTTTACCATCAAAATTCGATTGTGACTATGCCTATGTAAGTGTTCTTATAAAGGTTTTCTTTTCCTTTTATTAACTAATTATGCTGTAATCAGTAAACAATTTACACTCAGGTTCTTGGTCATATCTGCTATCACATTCTAGCAGCTGGTTTGAATGGTTACATGGCCACTGTAACTAATCTGAAACATTCAGTGGACAAGTGGAGATGTGGTGCTGCTCCAATCACAGTATGTCATATCTTAAGTTGTTGCAGCTTAAAAAATATTTGTTAGTAGAATGTTATCATTTATAAGTATGTGACTTTTTTAACCTTCTGATTGATGATTTTTGTTAGAATAATTAAATTTAATAATTATGCTAGATGTCGCAATAATTATTTTAAGTATATATAATTAACTATATAAATCATTAAGTTGCTCATATATTTGAATTATTGAAATTTAATTATTTATATTTAAATCCTATTGGTCAAGAAGTGATAATTTGATCAATCGTTTATGGACCGTTTGATCAAATAACTCCTATGAGCTGTTATTATAACTAATCCGTAGGAAATAACTATCGGTTTTCTCTCTCATTATGGGAGTTAGTTTGTTCCATAGAGAATTAACTCATGAAAGAAGAAAGTGAAAGGGAAAACAGAGAGAAACCTTGTGAAATCAAGGTATGTTTTCTTCCGATTAAAATCTTGTGAAAATCATCTTGTTTAAGATCTTGTGGATTTAAGACTTATGAAAATTTATGTTTTTTGTTTCAATTTCATTTACATAATTTATGATGCGAGTTTTTGCAAGAGTTAGAGAACTCATAATGCATATTGCGAATTCTTGTAAAAATTAGAGAACGTAATCTTAACGAAAGTTCTTTCACTATCCATTTTCCTGTTATTGGCAGGCAATGATGACAGTGAAGCAATACTCAGGTGGCCCTGGAGCCATACCAATTAGAAAGCCTGAACTACATCCCACCCAAGTTGACTTAAAAGGAAAAGTATATGAGTATGTTTTCATTCTATTTCACATGATGAACAATCATCTGGCCACACATAGAGCTTCACTAGTGCACTAGGGAGCTGATTTTTCCTTTGATCCTACAGGATACTGAGGCAAAATGCTTACAGTTTTCTCATGGAGGACTTGTATAGAAATCCAGGTCCCCTTCAGTTTGAAGGACCTGGAACTGATGTGAAATCTTACACCTTGTGTGTTGAAGATCAGGATTACATGGGTCGGATCAAGAAGCTCCAGAACTATCTGGACAAGGTAATTTGATTCTTTCAGTTCAATCTTCACTATTAAAGTTTAAGGCTTCATTTGGGGCTGCTTTCTTTCTGCTTCTTGAAGTGGCTTTTTAGTTAAAAAAATTTATTTTTTGTACTAAAAAGCCGATTTAAGCAGTAAGAAAACCATCCCAAAAGAAGCCTAAATTTTGGATTTTTTTGCTAGAACTGTTGGAATAAACTTATTTCTTAACGCTTATTATTAAAAATATATAATATTCTATATTTGTATGATATAATAATTTCGCAAATTAAGTAAACTTGAAATGCATACAATCTAATATTGTCTTGTGCATGTCAGATACAGGTGTCTTTTATTTATTTATTTATTTTTTAATCATGCAAGCCATGATATATATTGTCTTGTGCATGTCATATTCTACTTGAGCTGGATATTATATATTTGATTTTATAAAGTATCAGTGCATCATAGCATCCACATGTCCAAAACTCCATATTTTGGTCTCATATAAGGCTTCATTTTGTACAGCTTCCTTACTGGTTTTTAAAGAAGATTTCTAGTGCAGGATTTTTTAGTTTAAAAAAATTTTTGTGCTAAAAAAAAACAGTAGAAAAACTGTCCCACATAAAGGCTTCGTTTGGGACGGCTTTCTTACCGCTTCTTAAAGTAACTTTTTAGTTCAAAAATTAAAAGTTTTGAACTAGAAAGCTACTTTAAGAGAAGTAATAAAGCCGTCACAAATGAATCCAAAGTCTAAATGTTTGCATATAATATAATCACCCTAAGATAAATCATGCTTCATTTACTTTTTCCCCTTTTTTCAAATAAACAGGTTAGATGCATTGTGAAACCTGGATGCTCGCCGGAAATCCTCAAAGCAGCTCTAAGTTCCATGGCTTCAGTTACTGAGGTCCTGACTGTAATGTCTACACCAAAATCTAACGGTCATATCCTTCTATGAATTTTTGCCACCAGTTATTTTGGAGGGTGAAGCTTTACTCTTAGTTTTGTAACTTATGAATAAATGTCAATATGGAGAAATGTATATCATTAACATTTTGAAATGACAATAAAGTTGTAAAATATCCAAAATAATCTTTAGCAGAGATTTCTTTTGGATCTTTAGCATAATGGAACATTTTTTCTAATAGAAGTTCTGTGGATGTATTGATAAGTCATGAAACCAACAAAAGCTTGAGAACTAGAAGCACAACATAGTCACAATTATTCTTTTCTATTTCAGTAGCTTTGATTTAGACTTCGTTTGGGATGACTTTTTTACTGCTTCTTAAAGTTGCTTTCTAATAACAAAATTAAAATTTTTGTACGAAAAAGTTGCTTTAAGAAGCAATAGAAAAGCCGTCCCAAACGAAGCCTTAAGGCTTCTTTCTTACTGCTTCTTAAAGCAGCTTTCTAGTAATTTTTTTTTTATTTTTTATACTAAAAAGCTGCTTTAAGAGTAAGAAGAAAGTTATCCCAAACGAAACCTAAGTGATTTTAAATAAGTTGCTATGGGACAGATTGATGGTAGTGATCCCGCCATTATGAAACCTATGAAATTAGCATTAATAATAATTATTATTATGATAATTTGATTTTCTCGTGATTATTGCATCATGTAAGATTAGACCATAGGGAAAATACTCATACAAAGGGCTAAAATCGAACGATTATTTCCATTGCATCTTCAAATTTTGAGGTTATTTCCTTACCTTGAGCTTACTTTTATTAATTTAATATTTAAGGAAATTATTATAATTCAATTTTTTATTTTATAGATAATTTCTTCATTAATATGTTAAAAATACTTGTAATCTTAGTTATTAGAAATTTGCTGATTTATAGATCCATAGATAATATTGACAGAATTTATGTTAATGAAAATTTAGCAACATATTTCCTATCATAATTATCAATGGATATATGAGGATTTGTGACAAATATGTTGTCATATTGAGTAGGTTATTGTCAAGACATTGTTCGAAGACTCAAATTAACGAGACGGAAACAAACAGTTGGGTGGTTAAACATTTCTCTCAAATTCATAAACTGTTAATCAACAACATCCCATATAAAATTGAAATCCACCAACACAATTATAAATTTTGAACATAGATATAAAACAAATTTTACTTGTTTTTGTTTGTGCCCTTTTTTGTATACATATTCCTCTATTTCATCTATTTTACTTCTCAAAAGATTTACCTTAAAATTTTAGTTTAACAATTTGAGTTTATAAAGTAAACTCAATGAATAATCATATCTGTAGCATAGACATAAATTAATAATATTCATTTGACTTTATTTTGCATTTAATATATATATATATCAAAGACACAAATCTTTTTTATATATTTATCAAATAACATATCATTTTGAAATAACATTTCTATATTTATCAAAGAACATATCTTTTTTTTTTTTTTTGGACATTTAGGCCATTTAAGGCAAACTCACACACACGACGCATACACATAGACTCGAACCTTAGACTTCTTAGTTGGAAGCCTTAGCTCTCAACCAATAGGCCAAGGAGAGTTGTGTATCAAAGAACATATCTAAGACATAAAGCAGCGGGCACAGGCAACAGGATTCAAGAGGATCAGAGCCCTCGATTTAATTTCCCGATTTGGGAATGGATTTTTACTAATTGGAAAGTTAATCAAAGTTTTCTTACTGATGATTTCAACGGATTTGGTTTTGATTTGAGTTTGATTGAGACTTAATTTGCGTCAATTTGAATCAAATTGATTTCAATGAGGCTAGTACAAATTAACTAAGTTTAATTAAACATAATCGGGTCTAATTTGCTCGATTTGAGCCCAATTGTGTCTGATCGAGTCAATTAAATGAAATTGAGCCCAAATTGACATTGATTTAGGTCAACATGGGCTTGACGGGTTCAATCGTGTTGATCGAGCATGCTCGGGAGGATACATGAAAAAAATGAGGTCAACAAGGGTGTTGAGGAGAATTAATGGAGAGATTATATATCTATGGTTGGTATGATTAATAACTCTAAATCAAGATATGTCCATGGCTAAACCATGGTTAATCATTGTAATTAGGTAGTAATCTATTATGTGATTAACTAAGTGTGAGGCTAAGATCCTTCTAATGATAATTAGGGCAGAGAGCTAAAGTACTAAGCGTGAGGGTAGAGGATTTTTATTGCCTAAGCAATCTTTTTGCTAGCCTTGCTTAAGCCATCTTAATCATGGTTAATTATCTTTAATCATTGCTAACCTTATTATGAGAGTTATGGTATGATGTTGATAAATAAATTAAGCTAAATTGGTCATTAAGGATGATTTTGCTCAAATTGACCCATATGAACTCAATTGGGTCCTATTGACCAAGTTAAACTGATCAAGTCAAATTATAAGTTAAGCTAAATTGGCTCTAAAATTTATTAAATCTTATATTTCAACTATTCCAATTCTAGTTTAAGTTAACTTTGACCTAAAGTATCTATATTTAAACTAATTATTCCTAATCACTTGCATTCGAATGAGGCTTAGGCTTTGTTGCGACGACTTTTTTACTGCTTCTTAAAACAGTTTTTAAATTTTTGTACTAAAAAAGTTGCTTTAAGAAGAAGTAAAAAAGCCGTCCCAAATGAAACCTTAATGTAGGACGGCTTTCTTATGGCTTCTTAAAGCAGTTTTTTAGTACAAAATTTTTGTAAACTAAAAATTTTTGTGTCAGAAGAATAAAAAAGTTGTCTCAAATAGTCAAATGAAGCCTGAGTAGACTTGACCCTACTTGAATGAAACATGTATGTTGACTTGAATCTTAAGCATTATTACTAGATCAATTTGGATATGAATAAACTTTTGAATGACTTCGACTTAGGCTTCGTTTGGGACGGCTTTTTTATTGCTTTCTAAAACGGAGTTTTTTACAAAATTTTTTATTTTTGTATTAAAACTCCGTTTTAGAAAGCAATGAAAAAGCCGTCCCAAACGAAGCCTTAATTTAAATAAATCCAAAGTTAATCTGACTCACCCAATGATATTTAATATGGATTGATTTACATTCAAAATCAAGAAAAAATTAAGCTCAGTATATCTCCACTTAAATTTGGTTAGACTGACTTCAATGGTTATTAAATTTACCTTGAGATAAATATAATGCAATTTGAATTGATTACTTATGTATTTCACTTATATCAAAGCAAATCCATTGGTTATAAAACCTAACATAATCAAATTTGGTTTAGAAAATTCTAACCAACACTCTTAAGAATATTTTTTTGGAAATATTGGAAGAAGAAATTTGATATTTGTAAGATTTCTTTCAAAGAGCTTAACAATAACATACAGGATCTATACCAACAAAGGTTTAGTTTGTGATAGCTTTCTTAATTCCTTCTAAACTAATTTTTTAGTAAAAAAAATTTAAACATGAAATTTTTGAACTAGAAAACTGCTATAAAAAATAACAAAAAACATATCATAAGCAAAGCTAAATTAGCTACCTAATCACAATCATTTTTATGATTAATTAAGATCATTTTCTGGTTATCAAAGTATGTCTTTGAACAACTCAAGAATGGTATACTATTTTGCAAAGCTCTCATCATGAAAGGCAAGAATTCAAGCACAAATATTTTTTTTTTTTGGAAAATTAGGGGCAATCATGCCTAATTTTCATTAACTAATGAAAACATTATAGCAAAAAAAGTAAGAAAAATAAGAAAAACTAACAATCCATGTAAAAAGATCTTAAGCAAAAATCTTAAAAAATAATAAACACCAATAACCAAGGACAAAAAAACTGAAAGCCCCAAAACATAAGTGATTGAAAAAGGGCAATATCCATTGCAGACATCAGATAATATCACATAAGCAAGCCAAATCCTTTAAATAGCTAAAAACAACCATCAAGACCACTACTGATAGCCGAGACAACCATCCAAGTGATAAGAACTATAATATAAGCACCATACCCTTGGTTGCTAGGGATGACCATCCAAATCTGAAAATTGGTTGCCGGGTCAACCTTCCAAGGACAATCGAATGAGACCCATTCATCATATTCCCTTCTCCTCAACAACTAATTAATAAAAATAACACAAACTATAGTATGAAGCAAACTAAAAAATAGGCAATTAAGCATAAATAATAAAAAAAATAGAAGAAAAACACTATAGCTAAGAACCCACTCCAGCCAAGCAACACCAAATACAATCTTCACTGAGCCAAGTGCTTAATAACATGATAAGATATCCATGATGAAATTTTAGCTACTACAACTTTCTTAATTAGCCTACCAACAATGTTTCCAACAAATTTTCTATTATTTCTTTCTCTCCATATAAAATATAAAGAGCATCAAGTAATACAAAAAAATAAACTTTTTGCATCCTTCTCTAAATTTGATATAGAAATAAAATCTAAATCTTGAAATAGTGTTGGCCTAAGAATAAAGGAGTTTAATCTCAATACAAATCATAAATAATGAAGAATGAAAATAACACTCAAAGAATAAGTGATTATGATTCTCCTCAGTTTTAGCACATTAAACACATGTGAGTGGAACATTTAAATTCCTTTTAGAAAGAATATATGTCATTTTTAACCTATTGAACGATGGCATCCAAGCATAACATGAAAAACACAAAGCAAACTTCTTATGCTAGATAAAAGAGTACCATTCTACCTGTGTTAAACTATCATAAAAAGCAGCATGATAAATCTTAAATGGTAGGAGAAACACACTACCCCAAGAGATACAAAAATCAGATTGATTATAAATAGAAATAAAAGAGTCTGCCTGTACAACAGAAGAAGCAAAAAACTGGCAAATTTTAACAATCAACTGCTATCAGATTACCAACCGAGGTAGACTGAAGAGAAGAAGAACAATTAGAATCTACCATCTCATGTAAAGCTCTGCCCCCACACCAAGGATCCTATTAGAGAGAAAGGGAGCTATTAGGATGAATAATGAAAGAGATATTGCTTTTAACATCCCTAGCAATGGAACAAATATATCTCCAAATAGCAGAAGCCTTAGAAGGGGGAGTCTTCCAAAGAGAAATAAACTTGTGCTTAACCCAACCAGCTAACTAACAATGTTAATTTAAAATATGACATATAAGAGATCAACTAAAATCATAAATATAAATAATTAAGATCAATAATACCATGACCCCCAAACCTCTTGGGTTGACAAACATCTTTCCAAGCAATTAAATGAATATTTCTAGCATCAGCATCTCCATGAAATAAAAAATTAGAGCAAACCTTCCTAATAAACTTGCTACAATATTTAGGAAGAATAAAACCCTTAATCTAATAAGAAATAGTATTACAAATAGAGAACTTGAGAAATTATAGTCTATCAACAAAAAAACTGGATCTTAGCTTTCCACCCAACAAGCAAATCAGTTATTCTATTTAGCAATGGTTAAAAATTAGAAGAAGCCTTTTAGTAGAAATAGGTAAACTAAATACTTCAAAGTGTTATAGGAAATTGATATATTCAAAATCTAACAAATATTATCAACCATTTGAGCATCTTTGGAGAAGATAGCCAAACTTTTATTGTGATTAACAAAAAGACCATAATAAATAGAAAATGCTCCAATATTTCCTTTAAACTCTCAACATTAAGAATAGAGGCTTTTCCAAAAACAAGGACATTATCTATATAAAGAAGGTGAGAAATGTAATTCTCACCAGCCTCCATACATCAAAATGAACAACATAGGGCTTATCATCTAACAAATTAGATAAGACATCCATAACAAGCAAAATAAATATGGAGAAAGGGGATATCTTTGTCTAAGACATGAGGATGAATAGAAAAAATCATTCAAAGTACCATTAAAAGCAATAGAGAAAAACATTTCTCAATACAACTCTTGATCTAAGAAATAAAGAGGCAAGGAAAATCTTTCTGAGCCATCATGTATAAAAGAAAATATATAAAAACTGTATCAAATGCCTCATGAATATCAAGTTTTGCAAAAAAAATGCTTATCATTAACCTTATAATTAAGGTCCATCAACAATTCCGAAGCTAGTAAAATATCATCATAAGAAATCCTTTTTTTAATAAACCCCGCCGGACTAGGATGAATAATAAAAGACATCATATGCTACATATGATTGGTCAAGATTTCGACCACAATTTTATAGAAAAATATTGCATGAAGAAATAGTCCTATAATCAATAAGTAGTGAAGCATGACTACTCTTAGGATTAAAAGCAATAACAAAAGCTTTTGCAGCCCTAGGCATGTGACAAGAAGGAAAATAAATGCAAAACAACTTTACAAAAAACATAACCAACCATCTCCCAAGAATTCAAAAGTAAAACCATTTGGTCCCGAGATAGAAGAGGAAGGAGCTGATAAATGTTGAACAAAAGCAAATAAATGTCTTTAAGATATAATATCACCCTCTCTGTAAAACCCCTCAGAATTTCATTTTTTTAGTGCATTTAGTTTGTACGAACTAACCTTAGTACGGGACAAACTGATGAAAATTGTGAAAATCTGTTTGGTTAGTACGGACGAACTATCTGTACGAACTGAGTAAAATGTAGGTTCGTCTGGACGAACCTGAGTTCGTCCGGGACGAACATAACAAAATTTTTGCTTAAGAGCATCGTCTAGGGACGAAATCCATCATCATCTGTACGATCTGTGTCCAGAGAGTTTCGTCCCGGGACGAATGGAAAACATCGTCTGGACGAACATAAAGATCTTTTCTCTATTTATGGACCATTTGAGATATTTTGAAGAGAGAGAATGTTGGAGAGAGAAAGAGAAGGAAAAGGCTTGGTTTCGGAGGCCGCAATACGATTTTTGTCCGACGCCGCTGTTGGAAGATTTGGTTGTCTCGCTGTAAGGAATTCAATTCCTATTTCTGATTTTGAAGATTTCGAGTTTTGGTATTTTTCTGCTCAGTTTTGTGTTTCCGTTACCGAAATTCTTGCATAACTTTGTATTGACGAAACATTTACCGCGTAACTTTTGGTATGTTATTGAAATGATGATTTTGCACGATTTAAGTATTTTCTGGAAAGTTTTCACCGGATATTTTGAATTATGTGGGATTTTTATCTAATAGAAAATTATATGGATGTTGAAAAATATTGCTTCAGTACAAGAAAAGTTTTGAAATAATGTTTTATTCGATTTCTGGTAATTTAGTTATGTTTGGGATTTTTTTTCGACTGTACGATATTTTAAGGATTCTCTTCATTTGAGTTAATTGTGTTTGTTGATTGCAATGTATTAATGATATGTATATAAATGTGAATATATGATTGAAATACTGTTATATTACTGAAAGACAAGTAAAGACTGGTTGAACCGTTGGTTGAAGATTGACCTGTACAGGACGGTGGGCCGACGGGCATTCCTTTAAAAAGGGTTTGATCTTATCCTCTACTGATCACGTGATTATTGAAGGAAATTATAAGGAGATTACTGTGCCGACGGGCAAGGGCGACGACTCTATTTACTGAGCCAACGGATTACTAACACTGATACTAACATTGAAAAATGCCTTAATAGGTGATTGTACTTGTTAAGTAAGACTACTATACTGGAATGCATGTGTAAAATATTGTTCTTATGATTTCTTTATGGATTTATCGATATTGACTGATTTATTGATACTGACGGATTTATTGATATTGAATAGATTTACTAACGGATTTATGAGTTTACTGTCACTACACGATTTCATTGATATTGCATACTGGTTATCGATTCTACTACTGATTCATCGATACTACTGATTCACTGATACTCCTGATTAACTGATACTACTGATTCATTGTATTGATCTTCTAGCATGTGATATATCGAATATTGACTGATACATGTGATACACTGAACACGTGATATAGAATATGCTTTTACTATATTGCTGCGATTTCAACTATTCTTATCGATATATTGATTTGATTATTTCATGTGATTTCATATCGATTGATATTATTGAGTGGAGATGATTTCTTTATTCAATGATTTGATTGATTCTATTAATATGATATTGATTTGATGGATATTTTAGATACGACGATTTTCTCTATCAATTTGATCGATATTTAAAGATATGATGGATTCTTTTGAGATTTGACGTATGTACTGATATATTGATATTTATAGATTTTTTTACTGTTTACCGATTCTTCTAATGATGATTTTGGATTTTACTGATTATGCATTGATTGTTGTTTGTGTACTGATTTCCATATCTGCATCGATTCAATGATCATGTGCAAGTGTCTGATATTGATTTGATTGATTGACATGCATATTGTTTTCGTACCGTGCTTTGATTTCAGTTGTAGCCTTTGGTGACATGCTGAGCTATTTAAGCTCATTATATGTGGTTAATGATTTCAGGTGCAAAGCCTCCCACGTGAAGTTTTTTTCAGATACTAGTGTAATTTTCGTAGTTTTTGGTTCATGCATTATTTTGTAGCCCGAGCGGCTATTGTATATGTTCTTTTGGACGCCACTTTTGGATTGCAATTATGAAATGTCGTAATGTGAATTATAGTATTTTAATGTGTTTGTTTTCTTTAATGTAATTATCATTTCAGGATATTTGTATTCATCTGAGCGAGAAGAAAGAATAAGAAGAAAAATATGTCGATGAATCCTTTCACTATAGATGTCTGGGATGTCACACTCTCCGTAGTAGAAATTATCTTAATTCTATTTCTAATTTGCCAAAGAATTTTGAAGTAGAGAAAATTTAAATATTCTTTTCAACAAGAAAGCCCTCTAGTTTTTGATCTTTGAATAATCCAAGAGGCTTATGAGGACATGTTATAATTAAGATGAGAGTTCACCTTCTTTAAAGAATCATCAAGCTGTTGATCATTAGGATTAAATTAATTTCTAATAATTGTGATTAAAGTACTCAATTTTTTCCAAGCCATTCACAATCACCATAATTGTAAAACTAACCCCTGTGTTTTTTTCTCTCCACTCTCGCGATCACAAAAAAAAAAAAAGCTCCCTCCGTTCTCTTGGGAGGACGAAGTCCTCGACTCTCCTCTTCCTCCTCCCCCTCCCATGTCCTCCCATTCTCCTCCAATCTGAAACCCTGTTCCTAAGCTCCTCGATCCACATCCATGTCCTCTTCTCAACCACTTGGCGGCGCTTCCCGCGCCGGCCGCGTCCTTGGTCCTTACCTGGACCGCATCATCAAGAACGCGGCATGGCGCAAACACTCCACCCTCGTCGCCTCCTGCAAATCCATTCTGGACCTCCTCGAATCCCTCCCTGACTCCCCTCCCGAAAACACGTCACCGCTAGTCGGTCTTTCCACCTACGACGCTGACGCCGCTCTCCGACCCCTCATTCTGGCCCTCGATACCGCCTCTTCAAAAGTCGCAGAACCCGCCCTCGACGCAGTCCACCGTCTCTTCTCCCTCTCCCTCCTCCGCGCAGAGATCGAGGATGCATCTGCCTCCGGCGACTCTGCCCCTGTTGTCGCTCGCCTCTTAGGATCGGTCTGTGCTTGCGGGGGGCTTGGAGAGGAATCTCTCGAGCTAGGCATGCTGCGTGTACTCGTCGCGGCTGTCCGATCCACGGTGGTTGTGCTCCGCGGGGAGTATCTCGTCCAGATCGTGAAGAGCTGCTACAATGTGTATTTGGGAAGCCAGAGTGCTGTCAACCAGTTGTGTGCAAAGACTGCTCTGGTTCAGATCCTGATGATTGTCTTCGCTAGGGTGGAGGCCAATGGAGTGGATGTCACGATCAAAACGGCATTGATGGCCGATGTATTGGATCTGGGGGATAAGAGCTTAAATGACTCTAATATCGTGCAGGCGGCGAGGACTTTTATAAACGAAGCTATGGGAGGGGATGAAGTAGAGGTCACGGAGGAGAAAACGCTAGAGTGTGAAGTTGGAGAGGGTGATGTCGGCGGTGACGCTGGTGGGATGAGTAAGATTAGGGAAGATGGTTTTCTTTTATTCAAAAATTTGTGTAAATTTTCCATGAAGTTTGCTGCGCCAGGGGAAAATCCGGAGGATCCTATTCTGTTGAGGGGGAAGGTGCTGTCTTTGGAGCTGTTGAAGATGGTGATAGAAAATGCAGGGACATTCTGGCTTGTAAATGAGAGGTAAAAAATAATCGTTGGCTTTCTGGTGCTTGGACATTTTAGTGTGATGCGACTTATTTTGGTGCTTTAGCAGTTTAGCTAAATGTCTAAATTGAACTAAAAAATATTTCAAGAAATTTTATGAAATCATGAAAATTGAGGAGATTGCTTGCCTTCCTTACATTGAAGAGCAATCCTACATGAAACTCAATGAAAGACTTTGCCAAATTGTCCTTTCAGTGTTAAGTTAAGTTGATAAGGGGCTGTTTGTCTCAAAGTATTTTGAGTGTAGTGTTAAAGGAATATAAGGATTTTGAAAATTTAGTTGTTTTGTATGATAAAAAAAAGAATACCAAGTAATTTGTTGATGTATTTGGATTCACCATTTATTTCATTTTTTGTGTATTCCAAAATCACCAAATATGAGTGATTTCCAAATACACAGCATCAACTATTGCACCCGCTGCTAGCTGCTGTCACCCACCCCTCAATGCTCTAGAAAAAAAAATTAAAATATATTAAAAAGGCCAGAGTTTGTTATACATGAAATAAAATGTTAAATTTATTCTGTTACCAACCAAACATCATAAAATATTTCAAATGGAATAGATCTAATTTGCACTGTATTTAAAATACAATAGAATTTTAAATAATTGCAACCAAATGGCCCTATATGTGAAGTATTGGATTATATGAATTTTTTTGATAGAGCTCCTTCTTAATGATAAATTCTAATATTCAAGCTTGGACTTTTAACTTTTATTTTTCCAAAGAAGATAAGGGGTTTGATACTTTTTGTTTTGTTTTTCACTTATGACAAAGACATAATTGGATGATCCACTTATTTTCTTTATGCAGAAGCTATAGTATAAAACATATTTGATAAGCAAAAACAGAAAACATTATATATATATATATATATATATATATTATATATATATATATATTATATATATATATAGATATATCTTAATTAAGTCTATTTTAATTCAGTAGTAAGTATAGTAATCCTTAATTAAGAATTATTTAGACCTGAATTAATTAAAGATACTGCAATAATAATTAATTAATAGTTACTTATTTGTTTGATTAATAATTTAGTTATATATATGTATATAATCAGTCATCAGTCAAAGTAAAATTTAATTAATTTATAATTATACCGGTTTTAATATACATGTTAATAAAAATCCTAATTAATCATAGTTCAATGTAGATTACTATGAGTAATTATGTTATTTATTTATCATCCCATGAATAATTTCCATAACTTATAGAAAATGACTTTAATAATCTCTATAAAAATCATGATTCATCCCTATTTAGCTTAAAAAATAATTAATTATTGATTATTTGATAAATATGAGTTTATTAATTATTATGGACTGTAAGTTATTAAATTAATAAAATATCGATGAACTTAATTAAAACCTTGATGTATGTTTAGTTATTCTAATGGATTAAGTATTTTTATAATTTAATACTGATAAAATCTTGAGAAACTTAATTTAATAATAATTAATTACTCATTAGTCTGCACAATTAACTGTTGTTTGACTAATTAATCAATTAAATATTTATATTTGGGTTTTTTATAATAAAAATTATTAAAAAACAGCTGAAAGAAAGCTCTAATTAATCTCTTATCATGCTAATACATATAATATATATATATATATATATATATTATAGAATATTATAATATATATATATATTATATATATATATATATATATATATATTACTAATTAATTATTTCAGATCCAATTATTATTAGTTTATTATTAAACGACAATACAATATTAATGACCTTAGTTTTACATTTTGATTTAGTCGCCCTCATTTCACTAATTAATATGCAATCAGTTTTATTAGTCAATATATTGAAATAGACAACTTTGTTGCCAAAACATATGAAAATACCCATATATTTGTTTTTGCAATTTTAGGAAACAAGCTATTTTGTGTAAAAAAAAAGAAAAAAGAAATGAAAACGGGTTGCCAATCATGTCTCTAGTTAAATATCTATTTTTTAAAACTGAAAACAAAAATGAATCGAAACATAGCCGAGATTAGGATTTACTGCTGTTTTGTGGTTAATTTCTTATAACTTTCTTTATTTCTGCAGGTTTCTTTGGGCTATTAAGCAGTACCTTTGCTTATCATTGTTGAAAAACAGTGCATTGTCAGTGATGACTATCTTCCAGCTTCTATGTTCTATTTTCATGGTTTTATTGTTTAAGTTTAGATCGGGTCTGAAAGGCGAGATTGGGATTTTCTTTCCCATGCTTGTCTTAAGAGTTCTTGAGAACGTGCTTCAACCAAGTTTCTTGCAGAAAATGACAGTCCTAAATTTGTTGGAAAAGATGTGTCAGGATCCACAGCTTATCATAGATATTTTTGTGAACTATGATTGCGATGTCGAGGCACCAAATATATTTGAAAGGTAATGCCTATGCCTCTTCTATAAACATGAATCACTTCTGATTCTGTATTGAAATAATTGGTGAATGCACTTTTCTACCTGTACTCTATGGAATTTCTTTTTTGTGATAACATTTAATAAAATGTATTAAAACACTTTTAATTCCATCAGATGGTTGCAGGATCGTCAATGGGCTCCTAAAGACTGCTTTAGGAGTGCCCGCTGGATCCTCAACAACATTGTCGGCTGCTCAAGATGCTACTTTTCAGACTGAATCTGTCAAGTGCCTTGCTACTATTGTGAAGTGTATGGGAACTTGGATGGACCAGCAATTGAGAATTGGGGATTTTTCCACACGAAGTTATGATATTGATCATTCGACTGAGAACTCCAATGCTATTAATGGAGAAGAGGGAACTAGTATGGATTATGATCTACACACTGACACAAACTCTGGTTTGTCAGATGCTGCCTCGCTTGAGCAAAGGCGGGCTTACAAAATAGAATTTCAGGTAATTTAGTGCATCATATTTATCACCTTCCTTTTGTAATTCTTAGAACTTTTGTTTTATTCATCATCTTATTATTTTTACATGAACTGAAAGCTAACCTATGCTACTAATTGTGATGACTGAACTGATTAATGCAGAAAGGTATTTCACTGTTTAATAGGAAACCTTCTAGGGGTATTGAATTCCTGATTAATACTAAGAAGATAGGAGGTTCTCCGGAGGAAGTTGCTTCATTTCTAAAAAATACGACTGGTCTAAATGCAACCATGATTGGAGATTTTCTGGGAGAAAGGGATGAATTTCCTCTAAAAGTTATGCATGCTTATGTGGATTCTCTAAACTTTGAGCGTATGGATTTTGGGGAAGCTATTAGATTTCTTTTACGAGGATTTAGATTGCCTGGAGAAGCGCAGAAGATTGACCGCATCATGGAAAAGTTTGCAGAGCGCTATTGCAAATGCAATCCCAGTGCTTTTGTTAGTGCAGATACAGCTTATGTGCTTGCATATTCGGTAATAATGCTTAATACAGATGCACATAATAGCATGGTCAAGGATAAGGTGCGCTTAGTTTTGTTTTTTAAAATGACTAACTGTAGGATATGTTGAAGAAAAACTATTCCAACACAATTGTTATTCTTCCGGCAGATGTCAAAATCTGATTTCATTCGCAACAATCGGGGGATAGATGATGGAAAGGATTTGCCAGAAGACTATCTGGGTTCCTTGTATGACCAAATTGTGAAGAATGAAATAAAGATGAATGCTGATACCCCAGCTCCACAGAACAAGCAGGCTAGCAGCATCAACAAGCTATTGGGTTTAGATAACATCCTCAACTTGGTCAACTGGAAGCAAACAGAAGAGAAAGCGTTAGGTGCAAATGACATGCTAATCAAACATATCCAAGAACAATTTAAAGAAAAAAGCGGAAAATTAGAGTAAGATCAATTGGAATAAAAAAATTATCAGATTGAAAATGGTTTAACAGACATCGTCATTGTGATTTTTTGCTTTTCCTTTTTGCAATTCAGGTCTATGTTTTATTCCATCACTGATACAGCCATCTTGAGATTTATGATGGAAGTTTGCTGGGCACCAATGATGGCTGCTTTTAGTGTGACGCTTGACCAGAGTGATGACAAGGCTGCCACATCCCAGAGCTTGCTAGGCTTTAGATATTCTGTGCATGTTACATCCTTCATGTATATGCAAACACAGAGAGATGCATTTGTTACATCGGTCGCCAAGTTTACATACCTCCATTGTGCTGCTGATATGAAGCAAAAGAATGTTGATGCTGTCAAGGTAAGATGTTTGTTTCTTTAAGCTGATTTAATTTTTTGCTAGCAAGCTTAATTGGCAGCCTTTGCTGGCTCTCTGTATTTTTAACATGAGAAAAATATCAGTAACTTGGATTTGTTTTGTTTCACACTTTTTTGTGCATGTTTGCAGTTATATATTATAGACTGTCTGGCTCAAAGTGATCCATATTAATACAGTGTTTAATTCTTTTTTGTTGGCTTTTATCTTTTTCTTCCCTTTTCAACGAATGCTATTTAGTCTATTTAAATATACCAAAAAATGAAACCTTACCAATTAAATAAGTATGGTATTGCGGTATGATTTTATATATATATATATATATATATTAGAGATTGCTACTAGTAAAATTAATAAGCCAGAAGAACGGGTAAGAACTACATTTAGCCTCATGGAAAAATTCTCTTTGTTTTTCTTTAAGATAATTCAATTTATGGTTTCCACTAGTAGATGAAAAGAGGAAGAAAGGGAAAAATGAGGATAGACTGTATGGCATTAAGGAAGAAGCACCGAGTAATAAACCACAAGATCAATAAACTTATTAAACTATTATTCCTTAACAATAAGATTAGAAGGAAGATATGGTACTAGTCCAAAGATAATGTAAAATACTTTGGCACATGTTTCAAAGAAAGAAATTTAAAATCTGATGGACTTCTTTCTAGATAATGGAGAATGAATTTATTTGGAAAATAGAATGGCTGTGGTTTTGGTTAAGTGTTTCGTCTTCCTCTTTTGTTTCTTGTGCTCAATCAGGTTCCAGGAAGGGAGTATATTTAAATGCTATTATTGCTATAAATGTTTGATGCAATCAAAAATTTGGGAGAGGGAGGGACCCAAATTTTTGATCACAAAAAAGTAATACTTTTCTAAGAAAGAAATAAAGACATAGAATAGACAAATAAACTAAAAACAACAACTTTACTTCATAATATAAAAACTATTACAACTTAGACAAGACTTACAAACGACTCTTGCAAGACACTTACAATTTGGACGCTTCAAACTTTGACACAAACAAAATGACACCCTAAAATTGCTTACTTTGAGAAGAAGGATACAATGGAATGGATACTATGGAGAGAAGAAAGAGATTAGAAGCCAAGAAGAATGGTGGAAAGAGCCCGCAGGATTTCCATAGAAGAAGAAGAAGCACAGGAAACCAGGAGGCAAATCAGGGAAATAATTCACGGACAAAAAGAGGAGCCAGAGCGGTAAAGAAGGCAGCCACCCGAAGAGGCAGCATCAAACCCGAAGAGCAGCAGCCCGTGAGAGAAAATTTCCAGAGAAGAAAAGCTGCAGCAGCCCCAATCCAAGAAGAATATGAAAGAACCAAAATCTACTCATCTAATCTAGCTCCCAAACATTAATTTTATAACTAAACATCAGCTCATTAATGAGCTACACTTCTACTAGATATTAATGAGCTTGCACAACTAATGTTTCAACTACTTAAGCTCAAACCCGAAATCAGCCAAGGCTCCATAGAATTGTGTTGACCCCCCCCCCCCCTTTGCCTACATCAATGTTGGATCGTGATGCTTACTGTTAATTCTGTAATGTATTCATCATTTGAATATGGGATTAAGGATAGATTTGAATACCGAATTTTTTATGAATAATTTGCCTAAAACAAGGCAGGTTTGTGCTAACAAAGGGTAGCTGATGTGAAACAAACATGCGATGGAGTTACTTTAAGAAATTAAAGAGAGCAATTTTAACAAAATAATCCAAAATAAAATTACACTTATAGCAAAAGATTGATCCTTGGAGTCCTCAGTTTTTAACTTGCTTAGACAAAGAAGAGCGCAATCAATCAACCAAACAATTCAAGAATACACAAAGAATAATTGTAAAACTACGACAATAAACAAGAGTCCACGATTTAATAATGAGAATTTTCACCATTGGAGTCCATACACTCAACTAGTCTAGGCTTTAGCGGAAGAAGAGTCTCCACATTAGAACCGCGGTCACTCCAAGGAAGAAGGAGCCTAAGATCGTCGTTCTTGGATAGGGGGCCGGAGTGGCGGAGGATGGAGGTCGTCCAAGGATGATCCAACGTCCCTTTAATCTTTGCTCGTCGATCACATCCACTAAGGTGTAATGGATATGATCGATGTAATCTTCGATGGTGTCGTCGAAATCGAAGACCACGTCAAAGAACGGTGATTGGAGTATGTCAACTTGATCTTGATCGTCATGCACAAACCCAAAGTTCCACTCGGGTTCCTCCATGCATTCTTGCCGGGAGTGGATGGAGCATCCGGGAGAAGAGGGGACTTTGGTTATGGTGGGATCCAAATGGTAGAGTGCAGGAATTATGAATTAATTTTAGAATTTGGGAGGTTTAATTGTGGGATTTAATTTGAAATTCAAATTAAATCAAGGAGGGGAGGGGGGGGGTAAAGAGAGGGGGATTTGGGTTGAATTTGTGGAGCTATTAAGGTGATTAGGAGAGAGAGGGGGCCATTAAGGGGCCGGCCACATAACTAGGAGAGAGGGGCTTGGGTTTTAATGCAATGGGGACACCAATTCAATTTCAGATTTTACAAAAACCTGAAATAAAATTTCAGTTTTCTTAAGGAGAAAAACTTCCAATTAGGAGGGCAATCAATTTAAACAATTTGAATTTCAAATTTGAAATTGAAAATCAATCAAATTGATGGCGTAAATTAAGGCGCTAAATTAGGAAACAATTAATGGCCAAAGAAAATTTGAAATTTCAAAATTGGGGCTCAATGGAGGGGGCGGTCGGCGGCTAGAGGAAGGGGCAAGGGGGCGGATCACAGGTGGGGTGGCCGACCGGCGGGAAGTGGATGCCAAGAGGCCGGCGGCTTGGGGTTGTTTGGAGGAGGCGGCGGCAAGAGCAAGGGGAGGAAGAAGTTTGGAAAATATAGGGATTCAAGGAGTGAATTCCAGTTTTCCACAAGTGCTTCAATCCGAATCTCCTGGAGGTACATGTGTCGAAATCGCTGCTGATGTCCCCATCAGTAGCTGTCTTTTTTTTCAAGTGCTTAGATTTCTCATTCCAGTTTAGCTTGTTGCTTTGTCTAACCAACTCATGCATCAAGGTACTAGCGTCACATAACAGCTAGGATAAGAGATAAAGCTGGTATTAGAAATTAACCGAGGCTCATAGTGGATAGATAAATAAGAAAAAGGATTTAGTAAGCTTTAAGTTCATATGATATACTTATTGAGGAGATTTGAAAGAGTTATGGGTGATATTGCATTTCAATCGAATTTTGAAGGATAAAAGGATGTCGATTTAGTGGAGAAAAAAACATTTAATTCAATATTTATGAATAATTACGAAAAGTCAAGAAAAATTAAGTTTTAATATTTGAAAATAATTTTAAATTAAAATTCTTAATTTCCAAAAAATATTAAGGTATTACATGAATTTTTATGATTTAAAATGAATTTAATATGAATTTTTAAAGTTTAATGTAATTAAAATGGGTTTTAAAATAATTTTAAAAAATATTTAATATTTAAAAATAATTATCAAATCAAACTAAATTAAATATTAAAAGTTCTCTAAAATTGAAAAAATTTTAAGAAATAATTTTTATAAAATTTAGAAAA